AGATTTCGAAGATATTGAATTAGGAAAAATACCAAGGGGAACGAAATTTGAGGGTAGAATTCCAAAGGAATTTCGATGAAATTTCTATAGAAATTCTGAGGATAATTCCAAAGATTATTCTGAGCAGAATTGCATAACCATAACCAGGAATTTCAGGAAATTTGCTTAAAATTCAGGGAAATATTTCTCAATCTTTATTGATAACTGCGGTTTAAAATAAAATGATAGGTATTGATATCACCATGTGGGAAAGTTCTAGATATAGAGCTAAAATTAGGGCCTAACAGCTTTTGTAAACAATGACTTCTCTCGATACAAATTTAAGAAACGCCCATCAAGTCATCGTTCACAAAAGCTGTTAGGCCATTATTCTAGGTCCATCTAGATTTTTGTCAAAAAATGCACCAAAATTTTTATGGCCTCAATAATAGAGATATTGTTGGAGTAAATCGGTAACGCAGTGTGCTGATCACCTCCTTGGAGACCGAACGTCACCCCTAGCAACCTAAGTTTTCTTAAATAAACAACGGTGAAAAACTATTCATTCCTGTTCAAGACTCCACTCAAGCTAGTCGTTAAATAAAATCCATTCTACTTTTAAACTTTGCTGTTCCGGTTCTTTCTAACCATCAAGAGGTTATGGGCGACTCACGCAAGGATTTAGTCCACGGGATCCCGCAGTTCTCGGGCACCGGTTTCGACAATTGGCAATTTCGAGTGGAGAAGTATCTGAAGTCCGTGAAGCTGTTGGATATCATCAAGAAGGATCCTCCGATGGAAGCGGCCGAGCTCACGAAGTTCCAGGAAGATGACGGTAAGGCGGCGTTCCTGCTGACGTCATTTGTTCATGACGATTTGCTGCATTTGGTGCGTGACAAGGAGACGTCCAAGGAGATGTGGATGAGCCTTGAATCCGCCTACGCCAAGAAGTCCGTCTCGTCGCAGACATTCGTCAGGAAGCAACTTGCGAAGCTACGAATGATGGAAGGTTCGTCTGTGAAAGATCACCTGAAAACCTTCGAAGAGCTGATCCGACAACTGAAGCTGGCCGGAGCGAAGCTTGAAGAGAACGATATTGTGTCCCAGCTGTTTGCTACCCTTCCCGAGTCGTTCGATCCGTTGGTTACGGCACTGGAAAATCTAGGTGAGGAAAACCTAAAACTGGATGTTGTTCGCGAGCGCCTTCTTGCCGAGGAGCTCAAGAAAACCGACCGGGCAGCGGATTCCTGCCAAGAGAAACCTGCAGCATTCCAAGGATCGAAGCAGAAGCCTGGTAAGTTCACCGGAAAGTGTAACCGTTGCCAGAAGAAGGGGCACAAGGCCAAGGACTGTCGTGTGAAGTTGAAGACAGATGGGCGCGCTGAAGCTAACGCTGCTGCTGGAGGTAAGGCGGTGGTTTTTATGACCGGGAGATGCTCCCAAACAAAGGACGAGGGAGCAGTTTCCTTTAAGCTGGATTCCGGAGCCTCGGACCACCTTGTGAATGTGAAGCACTGTTTCACCGACCTCACGAAGCTGAAGCACCCTGTCGTCATAAACGTGGCGAAGGATGATCAATCCCTGATTTCCCGGCACAGTGGCACGATCAACGGCGTCAACAAGGAAGGTAACTATATCAGCTTGAAGAACGTCCTCTTCGTACCAGATCTTCGAGCGAACTTGCTATCTGTGAAGAAGATGGCAAAATCGGATCTTGATGTCACATTCACGAAAAAGGAAGCGATCATGAAGCAAGGTCGTGACCTGATTGCGAGATGTCCCATGCGGGGCGATTTTTACGAGCTCGATCTCCGTGTCGATACGGTGGCGGCCAACATGTGTGGAGCTGTGACTGGTAACCTGTGGCATCGTCGACTGGCTCATTTGGGGAGCAAGAGTTTGCAGACACTCGCGAAGCATGGCATGGTAACAGGTATTCCCGAGAAACCAGATAAATTGGATTTTTGTGATGTTTGTGTTCTCGGAAAGCAGTGCCGAGAACCATTCACGGGTACTAGAGTCCGTGCTACAAGACCTCTAGAACGAGTGCACTCCGATGTGTGCGGTCCAATTACACCAGCGGCTTGGGATGATTCTCGGTACTTCGTCACCTTTATTGATGATTACACGCACTTTGCAGTAGTATATCCCATCAAGAAGAAGTCCGAGGTGTTCCAGAAGTTTCGAGAGTACGAGGCCATGGCGAGTGCCGCTCTGGGACATTCGATTTCGAAGCTGACTGTCGACCAAGGGCGCGAGTATTGCTCCAATGACCAGCGTGATTGGTACGTTTCCAAGGGGATCCAAGTCGAGCCAACCGCAGCGTACACACCACAGCAGAATGGAGTGTCCGAACGGTTCAATCGGACAATCGTCGAAAAGGTGCGTGCGATGCTGATTGAAGCCCAAACTCCGAAGAATCTGGAATGAAGCGGTTCTAGCGGCGGTATACCTGACGAACAGAAGTCCAACCACCGCGGTATCTGATTGGAAGACTCCTGCGGAAATGTGGACTGGTCACAAGCCGGACGTTAGTAAACTACGTGTGTTCGGCTGTAAAGCATTTGCTTGGGTGTCCACGGCACAGAGGAAGAAACTGGATCCGAAAAGCAAGCCTGCTGTGATGATCGGCTATGCGCCGAACGCCTACCGCCTGTGGAACAAAGAGAAGAAGCAGTTATTCCTAGCCAGAGATGTCAAGTTCGATGAAAACAGTTTTCCGTTTGCCACCCAGATCCGTGACGAAACTCCTTTGGTTGTTGCTCCGTACGAGTTCGAGGATCAAGATGAGGAAGACGTGCAAACCCCTGAACAGTCCGTTCAACCCGATGAGCCGCTGGTGGCTCAACATGACGACATCCTGACTGATGATGAAGAAGGCGAGGTTGAAGACGACGGTGTTGAACAAACCGGAGCGCTCCCTTCGCAACTAGACCGTGGTTCAAACCTCGAAATGGAAACCCCGAGGCGCAGCGAACGGGAGCGCAGACTCCCCGGTAAGTTGAAAGAATTTCTGGTTGGAAAAATTTTCACTGCCGCGCAATCCCATTCTGCAGATGTTCCCCATAACGTTTCCGATGTACTATTTGACGGTTCCGTTGGACGAGATGAGGCCGAGCGTTCGATCTTCGATGTCCCGGAGGCGTACAAGGAGATCGCTGGACGAGCCGACGAAGTTCTTTGGCAGCAAGCGGTCCGTGAGGAACTGCAGTCGCTAGCGGACAACCATGCTTGGCGATTGGTGAGATGCCCTGCTGGTGTGGTTCCGCTCAAATCGAAATGGGTCTTCCGAATCAAGCCGGACGAGCATGGCGAACCGATCCGTTACAAGGCGCGCTTGGTGGCGAAGGGATTCCAACAGAAGCCCGGAGTCGACTACTACGAAACATATTCCCCCGTAGCAAAGTTAGACACGATACGAACCGTTCTTGCTGTAGCAACCCACCGAAGGATGCACGTTCACCAACTCGATGTGAAGACCGCATTCCTCTACGGTGAGCTTGAAGAAGACGTCTACATGGCCATACCCGAAGGAGTTGCAGCACCGCCGAACTTCGTTTGCAAGCTGGATCGATCGCTGTACGGACTCAAGCAAAGCCCCCGCTGTTGAAACAACAAGCTAAACGACCTTCTACTGGATTTCGGCTTTACCCGTTCCCGGCATGATTACTGTCTATATACCAGGATCGACGATCGAGGGGGGGTATACATAATCATCTACGTGGACGATTTGCTCATTGCTGGCGATCGACTGGACCTGGTGAAGGAGATCAAGCGTGCTCTTTCCAAGAAGCTCCAGATGACGGATTGCGGCGTGGTTAATCATTTCCTTGGAATGAAGATCCGATACGACCGCGCCACCGGATGCATGTACCTGGCGCAAGAAGCTGCTGTGGACCGTGTGCTGACGAAGTTCGGCATGCAAGACTGTAACCATGTCAAAACCCCAATGGAGAAAGGCTGTTTCCTGCCACCACAAGCTGCGAATCCTGTGTCGCATCCATACCGTCAATTGCTGGGCAGCCTGATGTATACGATGCTGTGTGTTCGACCGGACATATGCTACGCTGTTGGATACCTAGGGCGCTTCCAAGTTCAACCTGATGAGGCCCACTGGCAAGCCCTGAAGAGAGTGGTCCGTTACGTGAAGGGAACGAAGAACTTGAAGCTCCAGTACAAGCAAAACGACGACGCCGAGGCACTTGTCGGGTACGCAGACGCTGACTGGGCATCGGATGCTGAGGATAGGAAATCCGTTAGTGGCTTCGTCTTTAAGGTCTTTGGGAACACCGTGTCTTGGGCAAGCCGCAAGCAACAAACCGTTGCACTGTCGTCGTGTGAAGCCGAGTATGCAGCTTTAAGTGCCGCGGCCTCCGAAGGGCTGTGGCTGCACGGAATCCTTGAAGACCTGAAGCAAGTTCGACCGGACACGGCATTCAAGGTGTACGAAGACAACCGTGGGTGCATTGCAATGGCCACAAACACCGAAAGCAAGCGTGTCAAGCACATCGATGTAAAGCACCATTTTTTGCGCGACCATGTGGCACAAGGAAGACTTCAAATCGAAGCAATTGATACAGCAAACCAAATAGCGGACACGTTCACAAGCCCCTGGAACCTGGACGTTTCCGCGAACTGAGGACCCTCCTAGGACGATTCAGGGGGGGTGTTGGAGTAAATCGGTAACGCAGTGTGCTGATCACTTCCTTGGAGACCGAACGTCACCCCTAGCAACCTAAGTTTTCTTAAATAAACAACGGTGAAAAACTATTCATTCCTGTTCAAGACTCCACTCAAGCTAGTCGTTAAATAAAATCCATTCTACTTTTAAACTTTGCTGTTCCGGTTCTTTCTAACCATCATCCCTATATTCAAAAATAATTTACATTTAACGTTCCGCTTCCAGTTTACAAACATGGACTGCGAAACTCGCTGTAAAAATAAAACAGGACTCATTTACCTAGCTTGTGAATATTATTCCACACGATTGAAAACAACAACACTCATCGTATTTCAGCATGAACTTTATTTGCCTTGCATTTGCTTTTGCACCTTCATTTGAACATCCCGAACGGTGGCCCTGGAGATCGGTGCTGCACCGTAGTACCGCAGGAACCAATTGATCGATTTCATGTTGTCTGCCTCATTTTGCCGTCTGGTTTTCGGCGGCGGAAGGGCAGGATCCCGTGTCACGATCTCAGTCTCAGGCTTTTTAGGCTTCTGAATCTTGTATTTTTTGTTGAAGGCCAGCATTCTCATCCTCTTGTTTGTTTCTTTGCGAAGTTTTAGCAAGACTGGTGCCTTGACGTACGTTTCATGTCCCTTCCACAATGGACTCACGTTCGGTCGCACACCCTCGAATAAGTGGACCAGCACGCTCGGCTTTGGCTGCATATCCATGAACGTTGGATTCGATTCCTTAGCCCATTCAATGTCCAATTTCACATCCTCTTCGATAAATCGCTGCTTCATAAACTCTTGTTTTAGCGGAGAAGGTTTCCAGCGAAACTGACTCGCTACGGCGGCAACCATAGCCTGAATACTTACAAATTCAAGTATAATGATTTCGTTTGGGTATCTGCCGGCAAACGTAACTGGACCGTGTCTGGATAGTGCATTCTCCATGACCGTTTCCAATGGCGTAAATTTGCATGAATCGCCCAAAGCGGCGAATCGAACGCATCTTTCTTTATTAAAGTAAATCGGATCTCTTCCCGGAAGAACAATCAGCTTGTATCCAAAGTAGGGATCCCGGTGACATGTGGCAATTGCTCGATCCGCATCCGCTTTCGATGTAAAGTACACCAACATATCGATGAGCATGCACTGTCTCTGGTACTTTGAAAATGCCTTATCATTCGGTTGGTGATGAATGTAGATCATTCTCGTCAGCAGTCCGTTGTATGCAAAATAGTTCGAAACCTGTTCATACCAAGTATCCTCCACCCATTTATCCACCTTGAAATTTCCGACATACACCGGCCAGTAGGCGGCCAAAAACCAATTAGCTTTGCAAGAGGGATCCGTTTCCTCGGAAAGTAAATCATCTGGAGCGTACTTTCGTGGAAGCCGGTCGCACTCTTCTGTATCTGCGGCTTCGGGTTCATTACATCTCTTGGTGAGATCGACATGAGTGAAATCCGGTTCTTCATCTGAGTTATCCAAATCATGCAGCATGGTGGTTCCTTCACCTGTTGATTTGTCTAATTAAATTACAAGTATTATGGTAAGGAGTACCTACACGGACCAAGACAAGGTTTACTTTTTACGTTTACGTTTAATTTAGGTTGTGTTGTGAACAAAAGATGCGATCGATGCGACGCGACGATTCGAGTGGTACCTATCGGCTTTTTTTACGACGTTTACGATGACGGAAGAATATGCCAGCGTTGCCAGAGTGCTCTCAACTTTATTTACCTTTCTATAAACGCACACTTGCATAATCATGAAGACTTCAAGTTTCAAGTCTAGCCGAGGATGTGAAAAAGGCCTATGTACCAAATGTAAATAAATCAAGATTTTGTTTTTAATCAATTGAGGCTGTGTTCCATTTGGTGAATTTTTACTTAAATTTGACAGATGGAAAATTTTCAAATAAACCTGCTATTCCAGCAGACTTATTTCTGACAGACAAGGAATAAATTTTGACAGACGCTTTCTCGAAAATCGGCCGATCAACAACAGAGGGATTTTCGAACATCTTAATTTATTTTCGAAGTGTCAAATCTAAGTGAAAATTTTCCAAATGGAACACAGCCTGAGTTCTTTAATACCCCGGACAGACTATATGGCTTATATCAAGTAATATAGGCTGGCTTGCAATGAGCACTCATATATAGGATTTCCAGTGAAAACTAGATGTATGAGCTAGGGGAAGGGCAGCTCCAAGTATCAGTATCAATACCGATGGTGGAAATATTAAATATTTTAGTATGTGTGATATTTGCGAATCTTATACTTAGTCTGACAGTTGTTTTTTTGTTTTTAACTATTTTTGTTTTAAGTGTACATTTGACATTCGTTTAATCAAAAATGTATTTCACACGAGAGGCAAGTAAAGCCCTACAGTAAAAGTATGGACGACTGTCACCACAAAACTGAAAAAAGCTGTTCCAATCGAGCAAAGCGGTGCATTTTGACGGTTCGATTGGAACAACTTTTGACAGACGTCCACACTTTTACTGTAGGGCTTTAGAGGCAAGTCATTACTTTGTGATCTTACTGGCCACCACCACCAAAATCCGCTCCTTGTTCTCATAAATTCGGCATTTTTTGGTAGCTGTTCTCAGTGCACATAATCGGCCGCACTTCCATTCCCAGGAATTAATTTCCACAAATTCTTCATCGTCTGTGAACCAATGTGCTGTTCTCCTATGGAACGGGAATCGATTGACAATGCCGCCCCTGTTATCGGAAGCCCAGAGTGATGGTCTCGTGGTCGTATTACGCTCGATTCGCCATGAGAATGCAACTTGGAGAGATTTGTTGCTGGGGGAACGTCCAGTACCGTTTTTATCATGAATAGCCGAAGACGAAATCGATCAGAGCTATCGAAAACGAAAATCTAGGCAAAAATTAAAACAAACAGAAAGCTGCAGTAAACATAAACAACAACGGTGCAACGTCATTGAGTGTATGCGTTAAAGTTACACTGTTATTATTTTTTTACTTTGAAGCTTTCCGCTTGACAGTTAATATCATTGATATTTATACTAAAAATTATAATATCTACCAATTTGAGCAATTTTTACATCAAATTTTACTTCAGATCAAGTTGTACTTCCCCTAGTGTATGAGTGCCTATTGCAAGCTAGTCTATATTACACACGCAGAAAAATTTATCGTTGAAACAAAAATATTTGAGGTAAATTTAAACGTAAACTCAGTTTGTTCTGGCCACAAAAATAAACAAGGTTTATTTCAAACGTATTCCATGTCTAAATTCATGTGATATTTATATTTAAAATAAAAATAATGTTACGTTTATTTTAAAAATATTCGTGTTGAAAATAAACGTGAATAGTTTTGTTTGGTTTGACAGCTATGCGTACAAAAATAAATATGTTTATTTTAAACATGCTTCTTTTGTTTGAAAGAAACATACTTAATTTTAAATTAAATTAGCATTTGAATGTTTGTAGGAGATGAAAAAAAAAACAATCTGCAGACAGGGCATCTAAACTTGTGCTCTTTTTCAAGTATGATAAGTTCGAAATGCGGGGACCCGTTGGGGTGAGTGTCCGGAGGTTACAGTTCAGTAAAACCAGCTAAACTTTGTGATATTAGCGTCGTTTTGTCGTTTCTAACGCTGGTCCTCATACCGGCCTCTTTCTACGTTCGGTGTTGGAGGGGAGGATCCGGAATAGATTCAAAATCTAGTTCAAAATCCATTTCGGATTTTCGTTTTTCTTCCGACGTCAGTTGTGGAGGAGGATGATACAGGGATCGGCATCAGAAACGACAGAGTGACGTAGATACTGTGGAGTTCCTCCGGTTTTATCGAGCTGGAACTTTATTAAGACACTTACCTAGGTGGGTTTCCGGATCCATGACTTCGGTTTTGTTGCGGGCCGTTTTAAGTTGATTGGCAAAGCTTTCTTTCCTTTCCTGTATTTTAACGTCGGTCTCTATTCCGCAATCTAGTGCCAATCACCGACGGACATCGATTGCCATCCATTGACGGCAATCGAATGTGCAGGAAGGCAGCTTCCACACCTGCGTAGGATATCGCACCCATTCAACACACATGGGCCGGGACCAACGGCTTTACTTCCCTTGCGAAGGAAGACGTGACCAGAGATTTTAATGCCTCAGAAAAATCCCACCGACCTCGGCTGGGATTGAACCCAGACCCATCGCGGTGTTAGAAAGCAGTCACGCTTACCACTACACCACCGGCGCCGGCATTGGCAAAGCTGGGGCAATATTTTTCCGAATGTAAACAAAGAAGGAAAAAACGCAGGGCACGCTAAAACTCGTTTACCCAAATTCTATATTGTTGAAATAAACATGCTTTTGACTTTAATTCAAACATATATATTTTTGTTGCAAACATGTTCTTAATTTATTTTCAATTATTCATATGTTTATAGAATAAACATTTAAATTTTTGATTTAAATGAACAAAATTCGGTTCCGTGGGAAAAATTATTTCGATTTTAATCATGCATGACTACTGGCGAAGTAATCATGGCTCGGACTCAATAAGGTGAAGCGGGAAACTGCATACCTTTTAAGCTTTTTTGATTTAATATAATAAAATATAATATAATAATAAAAAATAACCATAAACGAACGATAACCCAAATCATTGAACTATTCCACAAATGGTTTGGATGATACCCAGAACACGTCGTTAAGCAAATTAACCATACAATTTTTATTAGGGACGCCAATTCACAGTACACCGTGCAGTGTACGGGCCGTGCAGAATTTGCGGTAGTATGAAAAAGACAACTACTACTCTGACTGATAGTACGTTCAGACTACAGAGTTATAACATGTTATAGCAATGAGCTGGATTACCGAGGTGAAGCAATCACTCACACAACCACTGTACGATACACGCAAGTACACGCAAGTAGTGACGTCACTACTTGCGTTTACGTTGATATTTTGGTTTACTAATACAACCCTATTTCACGATCTGCGCCACCTCTCTCTGTACCTCATTGATGTTATAGCGCTATCTTGATGGTCGTTTCTGTGTTGCAATTATTTGACAACCGTTATAACATGTTATAACTCTCCAGTCTGGACAGCGTTTGACTCATACCCCTAAATTCTTTACACGGAGAAAAAATACCACCCTAAATTTGAGTTATTTTTACTAAATTTTGAGTTGAGCCTCTCACTTGCACCCGTTATTGTTATCAAAAAAGGAACGAGAGATTCGACCTAATGATATAGTTCAGCCCAATAAGTTACTTGTGAGAAAATTGCATATTCTCAAATTTACGTAAATTAAACTTAATTCTGGGTAGAATATACTTGAGAGAAAGTATTTTTTTTGCTGGCGTTAAATGGAAACTACTAAATGCGATTTCCTCAAATTTGGGTTATTGGGCTGAACCCGGGAGTGATGGGAAAAGTACTTAATTTTGGGTAGTTTTCCATCTCCGTGCAGCGTTATGTGAGCTGCACGCTATTTCAAAACTACCCACATTTGGGTAGAATCCACCCAGATCGGTCAAAAATGAACCTACCCAAAAATGGGTAAACTGTGTTGGGAGTGGCAAGTTGACAAATCGACAGTGAGCATGCATAAGGGCGTATACGCGATGATTGATTCTCTTCGTCGATTTTCTCTTTTGTTAATAACTCGCTAGATTTAACGTTTCTCGGAGCGTTTGCTGTTGCTTTTGATAGCCAATACATCTTGTTACTACTCTGTATTGAACAAATTATTGAAAATTGTTTCGCTTAGCAGTAGCAATGCAAAGAGAAAATCGATGAAGAGAATCGATCATCGCGTATTCGCCCTTATGAATGCTCACTGTAGAAATGAACAACGTCGATCGGATTCATGTCAATGTTGTTCATATGTCAACTTGTCACTTTCAACACAGTTTACCTAAAGCCCTACAGTAAAAGTATGGACGACTGTCACCACAAAACTGAAAAAAAGCTGTTCCAATCGAGCAAAGCGGTGCATTTTGACGGTTCGATTGGAACAACTTTTGACAGACGTCCATACTTTTACTGTAGGGCTTTAAGTTTACCCATTTTTGGGGAGGTTCAGTTTTGACTGATCTGGGTGGATTCTGCCCAAATTTGGGTAGTTTTGAAAAAGCGTATGCCCCTTAAGGTATGGCATCCATGGTATCCGATACCGGGCGAGACCAACACAGAAATTCAAAACTACCCAAAATTAAGTTCTTTTCACTCATCTCCATGTTCCGTACAATAAGCCAAATTTGGGTAAACCGGCTCAAAGTAGTTGCATTTAAACACGGCAAAAAAAATTACCCATCGCTAAGTTATTTTCAATTTTTTCTACCCAAAATTAAGTTCAATTAACTCAAATTTGGGTATATCGCATATTACTCAATTTTGACTTCTTGTACGGAACTAGACGGATGAGTCGAATCTTTCGTTCTATTTTTGACAACAATAGCAAGAGGAAATGAAACGGGGAGAGGTCAAATAATTCAAATTTGAGTTTAAAAAACCCACGCGCTGGGTAGTTTTGTTTTTCTGTGAATATGTTTTGCAGCGGAAATGAGAGAGACACTAGCCATCTCTCTCATGCAACGGCAAAAAATAATGTCGCGTCCAATCCAATATCTGATGCTAGTGCGGCCGTACCTTCAACCTCATTGGCCGTGTACAAGCGGTGCAAAATTGCGTGTGAAAGTGCGCTTCGATTATCATTGTTCGCTCAAAACCAATCTTATCGGAATGGATTCGACAGAACGACATTGAAATCCCTTCCCAGAAGGCAATCGTAATCAGCAACAAACAAAAGCCACCTCCTTAGTATTGTCACTGCTGCTGCTTGGGGAAATCCACGAAAGAAAAGTCGTGTGACTAGAGCGCTGCTGTATCAAGTCGATCGTGTGTTGTGTGTGTGCTGTAGTGTGACAGAGGTAATGAACCAAGGGGAAAGTGACCCCAAATGACGACAAATAGTTTGATTAGAATCTTCCTGTTGAAAGCCTGGAAGGAAAAGCAACGGCACCCCGTGCGGAATGTACTGAACACACTGTTTCCGGTTGTGGTCATCGCATTGTATGCGTTCAGTCGATCCGGATTTCAACGGGGCGGTGCGGCCAAGGGAAGCTTCGATGATGCTCCGATTCAGCTGTCCAGGGTTTCGTCCGAGGTAGGTTTGCGAGGGAATCTAAAATGAAAGCTTTGCCTGTTCAGCGATTGCCTCTTAAGTGTTTATTTACATTTTCATTGTGCCGCGGTGTCCGCTGTGTTTACTTGTCGCGAAACTCGTTTCCCAAGGTAGAACGACAACATCAACCTACCTACATTTTTGTCCAGTCAACAAGTTTGTAGGAAAGGTTATACCGTTATGAAAAAAGAAATCCAGTTCTGCTATAGGCTACCACTTAGACGATTTCCTGATTTGAAAGTGAAAGTAAGATTATTAATTGTTCAGACCAGACTGCCTAGACTCTCAGAATATAGAATCGTAGTTAGGGTATTTGGAGGATCCATAGTTGCAGAATGAAATTTTATTGTGATTTGACGATCATTTATTTCTTTTTTAGACTCACAGCGAAATGAATGCACCAGCACACGCTACAATTCCATTATGTTGCATGTCTGTTTATTTCCAGCCATACGTATTATAAATAAGCAAATCAACGCTATAGCGTCTGACTGCCATTGACTTATTGATTTGTTTGGGTGTTAGTAGGTACCGGAATGGAGTGAGTCAACAACGTAATTGCAATCTCTTTCTCCCTGTTGGCACTGTGCTGACGCTTTCGTCGCTTTCATTTTAGTCTTAGTCACATACTTGATATTAATCAATATACAAGTATATAACGGTAATTATTAGTAAGCAAAATGCCAACGTTGCTATATCATAGTTAATTCTAACGTTGAAGAATCATTCGAAATGCTAAGCTCGTTCAGAACATTTTGGAAAACAATTGAAGCATTGTGACATAGTTTATAACTACGCTTACGCTTTTGATAGACGATAGGTTTCATAAACTTAAATGAAGCTTGGAATGCGGTGCATTATTTATTATATTATCTGTCGTGTTACTTAGTAGAGCGTAAAATTTACATACTAAAATGACGCGTCTATTTCCGATACTTTGTTACTCTGGGTGCGTTTGAAATGATAATCAGTATTCAGTACATAACATCACTATTAAATACTAACACTATACGGGATTACGTAAGCTATGCATTCCATAAGCACGACTTATGACTGATTATCGTACTACAGGAGGTACCACTAGCGGCTCTTATAGCCTTTACTGTCTGTAATCGCATATCAGTCACATACGAATTGTCGTCAATTTTAAGGTAACAACGCTATCGATTATCAATTGGAATCTACTTTCATATTATGTAATAAATATACGAACTTTGATAATGAAAAATGTAAAACCAACATCCAGTTAGTTTGTCCCACCAAGCAAGGTAATCGCATATCAGTCCCATCCTTAAATTCGATCGTCCAAAGGTGAGGCTACAGTTCCAACATTCGGCAATTGTGTTAGGGAAACCACTTTTTTCCATCACGAAAACGCCTCGTTTGCTGATGAAAAATGACGCATCTTTGTGGTTTATTCAATAGATAATAAAAAAGCGATGATTGATTGGAGGAATTTCTTGCTAAAATTTTCCAATCACGAGATATTCGCAATCAATCATATAAATTAGAGTTTTTTTTTTGCTTTTTTCTAGCGTTCTGGAGAAAACCTTACCTTAATTCGAAGTGTTTCTGATCAATTGACCAGATCATGTGGTATTCGATCAGTGCGAGAATGTATGTACCACTTCAATACTGTTTCGGCATTTGACCAAAAACATTTGGTTGCTGGGTACATTATCAAAGAGTTTTAGGGGATGCGGCTGGCAGCAAGTTCAATGAAAATAAACTCTTAAACAACAATAATTTATTGTGGTCCTGAAAAGAACCGTTTTGTCGTGATGGTTGAGTAATGCTGAGCTATCAGGGTGTTCAACACGGATAAGGCTGGCGAGCTGTATGTAGTTTGGAACGAGTGTGACGCGCTTGGCATAGACTGCCCACAGCGACTCACGAAGAGCTACTGAATCCGATCAGTAGCGGTGTGGCTTCTTCCTCTTTCTTCGGTGATTGAATAAGCACCGGTCGGCGAAACCGGATGGAATTCGATTTTGAAATCTGTGTTAGGGAAAGCGCTTTTTGCAGGCAATCGGTGATGATTTTGATCATTATTGGTCGATTTTTTTTCAAATTGCACCCCCAATATGTTGTCGAAAGACGTAATCCTACGGCAAAATTAAATATGTATGATGTTTCAAATATTTACATGGTAATCGTACGTACTTCGTAACTTCAACTGCCATTTTCTCAGCGTTTATTTTTTTTTCCATATGAGACTTGTATGGGATTATAGCGAAGACAACATATCAAGAAGACTGGCAACTCTTCCATTTTCTCATACGAACGCTATGAGACAGGTACAATCGCGTCATCTGCCGCTCAAAGGTAAATGCGTCAGGTAGATACACTGTCCATCAGTCTTTCTGCTTTAAACGTGTCGAAATCAATATTTTTAATTCTAATGCTAATTCTGACTGCACGGGAGGTATTGAAAATTTTTCAAGATTACTAAGAACCTGTGATTCTCGGTAGGAAAAGTGAAAAATCGGCAATTTTTAACCTTTCGTCTGTGAATCGGTAGGCATCCCGAAAATCGGTAGGACTACCGATAAATCGGTAGGACTATTGATAAATCGGTAGGTCTGACCACCGTGGGAGAGGGTTAACCTGTTCGATATTGCAAGCGTTGGTAGCGGTGAAAGCAAATGACGGGGTCAATAATCTGAACGCTAAAGGTTGAATTCTGGTGTGCTACATTTTATATTTGGCCTATTCTGCGCGGCGTGTGAGGTGAGGTGACTCACTGTCACTAGTGAAGTGACAATTTGATTTGCATGGAGAGTCACCTCACCCGAGGTGACAATTGTCACTTCATCATCACTTCACTGTCACCTCACCTCACACGCCGCGCAGAATAGGCCTAATTACTTTTTTAATGTTTTATAACCTAACTAATGATTTCGGTTTCATAAGTCAAACTGATGATTTCGATAAGAAATCCTTCTGCCGAAAATTCATAAATAGTTCGAACTATTTATGAATTTTCGGCAAGGATTTCTTAAAGATCTTTGGCTCAGTGCAGGGCTGGTAGCTGGCTATTTTCAAATCAGTCACTAAAAAGTCACTTTTTGCTCGAAAGCCACTATTTCTTAAAATTTTAGTCACTAAAGTCACTTTTTTACGACCAATAATGTTGAGAGTGCAGCATTTGCCTTTAAAAAATCACATCAAATCACAGCTCAATATGTTATATTTTTGGCAACAAGAAGAAATTAAGTAAATTCTAAGGGAATTTTAAACACAATTTCAAGAAAATTCTGACATGAAATCCTGGAGAATTCGTATAGAATCTGGATTTGAAAATAATTCCAAAGGGATTCTAATTATAATAGAAATTTTTCAGTGTTTCCACGGAAACTGAAGTTTTTCAACGAACAACGTCATGAAGCTGGTCTGCCGTCATCTATGATACATAATGGTAACGTGGCCTCATCTACGCAATATATCTGTCAGCCGTTCTCTGAAAATTTTCTAGTGTCTTCACAGACGAGAGACTGAGTGACGACCATGTCCGACTGGCAGTAAGACAATAGATTTAGCTGTCACTTTGCCGCAACGCGTCCGATCCGGATCTAATGTGCGTGGGCCTTTACGTACCACTCTCTGGCAAAACCATGAGCAGAATTGACATCAATCCCGAGATGTTTTCCAGGGCTACCTCAAAACTCAATTCGTCGTACATTCCGGGTCCTGACGGAATTCCATCGGCGCTGCACGTTTTTCAACGGTCCGTGGACGTCAGCGTTTTCCCATCCTGTTGGAAGCCAGCGCACATGTTTCCAGTACACAAGAAGGACAACAAACAGGACGTGGCATCACTTCGCTTAGCGCTGTTGCTAAATTGTTCAAACTCGTTGTTATGGAACCGTTACTAGCTCACTGTAAGCTCTATCTAGATAGAGCTGGAATTAGGGGGTAACAGCTTTTGTAAACAATGACTTCTATCGATGATTTCTAGGAATCCAAGGCAAGCAAATGGGCGAGCCTTGAATTTCAAGAAATCGTCAATAGAAGTCATTGTTTACAAAAGCTGTTAGGCCTTAATTCCAACTCTATCTAGATATATAAGTATCGACCAGCATGGTTTCATGACTGGTCGCTCCACTGCCACTAGCTTGCTGTGCCTTACTTCCTACATTTCTAATAGTATATCGGATCGTGCACAGACGGATATCATTTATACTGACTTATCTGCAGCCTTCCATAAATTGAATCACCGCATATCAGGCTTGGTATCCACGGCTGCCTTTTCCTATGGTTTCAGTCGTACCTCACCGATCGCTATCCTACTGTTGACATTGGTGAATACCAGCTCCGTATGCTCACTGCCACGTCCGGCATACCCGAGGTAGTAACGTGGGACCACTGATTTTCCTGATTTACTTGAACGACGTGAATCTGGTAATTGAGGGACCACGATTAACTTACGCAGATGACCTTAAACTCTTCCTTCGAATTCAATCAATTGAAGACTGTTGCTTCCTTCAACGTCAGCTGAATGCTTTTGGTGATTGGTGTATTCTGAATCGTATGGAGGTTAACCCGTCCAAATCCTCGGTTATCTCTTTCGCGCAAGAAAAAGACTATTATGTTCAAGTATGTTTTTTTTTAATCACTGAAATTGTGCGCGTCAGCAAAATTAAGGACCTAGATGTGATTCTGGATACCAACCCTCTTTCAAGCAGCACATCTCGCATGCCGTCGACAAAGCTTTCAGACTTTACGGATATCTACTGCCTTAAATCGTTGTACTGCGCCTTGTCTCGCTCCATATTAGAATACTGCTCGGTTGTCTGGACTCCCCACTACAACAACGGTGTCGAAAGAGTTGAGTCTGTTCAGCGACGGTTCCTGAGATATGCGCTACGTAAACTGCCGTGGACGGATCGCTTCCGCTTGTCTAGGTACGAAAGTCGTTTGCAACTGATCCATCTATTTATAGTGCGTAAATCTCCAGAAAGTCTTGCACCATAGCTCCATAA